ATTATCATACTGAGCATTGTCCCAATCTTTCCCAATGAAATTGTCTCAAAGTATAAAATCAATTGGCTGCATGTATGAGGAATTATTAACAGACTGTTAGCCACAGAAAACGATTTTGGATTTTTTATCTTCATGGCCATGTTAACTATAAATGATATCGTAGCCATATTATTCCAAAAGTACAACAGCTCAACTTGCTAAATGGAAATGATACAAAAAAAAATTCTATATTTTCAGGGCTAACTATAACCATAGAAGCAGTATACTGAAAAAACAGGTTATGTTTACAATATATACATATGTATACATGTATACATATATATGTATATGCATGCAATAAGAATTAGTGAAAAAAGAGGCCATTAATACGAAGGAGAACAGGGGTATATGAGAGGGTTTGGAGGGAGGATATGAAAAGAAAAAATGTCGTAATTATATTAATCTCACAAAAACTAAAAAAAAAAAAAAATGTTCCATGTTTCCAGCCTGGGAAAATAATCAAATAATCATTCACTTTTCACCATGGGGTATGGTAACTGCAATTTTTTCACAGACAAATCTTAACATATATAGACAATTTTCTTCAACTTTAATACAATTTTTTAATCATGCATGAAGGATAAATTTTGCCAATTGTCTTTTCCACATACTCAGAAATAGAATTTGTTATCACTTTTTAAAATATGGTGATTATATTGTTTTATTCCTGGGGTAGATTCTGCTTGGTTACTTGGTATTATTATTGTCATACATTGCTTGATTCCATGCTGTGGGATGTTCTGTATGGCAAATGTGTTGCTAATTAGTCAATAAATAAAACACTGATTGGCCATTGGCTAGGCAGGAAGTATAGGCGGGACAAGGAGGAGAATAAAGGTGGGAAGTGGAAGGCTGAGTCAGAGAGACACTGCCAGCCGCCATGATGAGAAACAGCATGTGAAGATGCCGGTAAGCCATGAGCCATGTGGCAAGGTATAGATTAATGGAAATGGATTAATTAAAGCTGTAAGAACAGTTAGCAAGAAGCCTGCCACGGCCATACAGTTTGTAAGCAATACAAGTCTCTGTGTTTACTTGGTCGGGTCTGAGTGGCTGTGGGACTGGCAGGTGAGAGAGATTTGTCCTGACTGTGGGCCAGGCAGGAAAACTCAAGCTACAATTCCATTTCCTAATATTTAGTGTAGCCTCTCATTCTATGTTCATGGAAGGTATCAACATAAGGCTTTGGTATTTGTTGTTAGTGTCTTTTTCTAGTTTTGATAGATAACAGTGAGCTTCTAAACTGGGTTCAGAAAAGTTTCTTATCCTCTAGAGCAGTGATTCTCAACCTTCCTCGTGCTGTGACTCTTTAATACAGTTCCTTATGTTGTGGTGACCCCCAATTACAAAACTATTTCATTGCTACTTCAAAATCATAATGTTTATAGTTATAAACAGTAATGTAAATATCTAATATGCAGAATATCTGATATGCAATCCTAATGGGGTCATGACCCACAGGTTGAGTAACAATGTTCTAGAGTTTGTGTAAGGATAGTATCATTTGATCCTGAACTTTTACTTGGGAAATTGATTATAATTGTAAATGTAACTTCTCTAGTTAACAGAAGTTAACTTTACCTTCTACTTCTTCTTCAGTTCATTTAGGAAATTAGCAACTAAGGAATATGTACTTAATATAACTTATGGAGCTTACTGGTAAGGATTCCTTTCATTTTTATATTTACTTAGGTTTTGATTACTTTGTTCATAGATATACTGCTATCAATATTATTTTCGAAACCTCCCATCTTATTACTATTCTCATATTCTTTAAGATATTTAATAGATTTGAAATAGAAGTCTTTAAACTACCATAACACATTTATAATAACTACCAATGGCATTATCTTCCATCATTGTTTTTCATTTTATTTTATGTGTATGGACATTTAGCATATATGCTTTTGCATCATGTGTGTACAGTGCCCTAAGACAGCAGAAGAGGATGTTGCATCACTTCAGATTTTCTGCCTGCTGTGAGCTGCCTTATAGGTACTAGGAACTGAACCAGAGTCCCCTAGAAGAGCACATGGTGCTTTTAGCCACTGAGCCATCTTTCCAGCCCCATTTTGGGTTTTATTTCTTCTAACTCATTTTTTCCTAAAGGTCAAAGGTTATATATCCTTGGTTTTTTTTGTTTTTTTTTTTTAAATACATGTCTAGAGAGAAGACATAAATAAATGTTACTAACTTTATTTTTCCAGTGTTGTCTAGCAGACAGGTATCCAACTGAGAATCAGTTAAGACCTTTGGAAAGATTGTCTCATATTTCCATCAGCCTACATTTATGCTATTTCAACGCTTCCTCAAGTTCAGCACATCCAAACTCAATCTCTCTGTCCACACACAAGCATTTTTCCACAGTAGCCTATTTCAGTGACATTTCTACATCTCTTAATTGGGCATTTTTTGTTTTTGTTTTTGTTGTTAGTTTTAATCTCTCCACATTAACTTTCCTTTAGAATCGGTTGGTATATACAATGAATTGAGGGCTGGGAATAAGTGACTTCCTGTATCTGAGATCTTCAATGTCCCTTTGCATTCAATCTGGCTTCCCATATGTAAGCTCGTCAACTGTGCATTATTACTGCTCATTCTCTAAGAGTATGGCAATGACACTCTGAGCCCTAGATGTGATGGACCCCATAATCTAAAGTTATCATTCATTGCTTTATCTCCTTTTCACAGTTTAAAATAAGTGGAGTATGCACATAACGATATATTTTATCTTTCCTTGTTTATGTTATTAGTTGTATTAAAAGAAACAGTTCAATTGAAAGTAAGTTATACAGTGAGCTAGATCTTACATAAGGCTCACATGGGCTGCTTCTGTATACTATGCTGACACTTAACATTCTGAACCCCAAAGAAGATCCAGCACTGATGGATTCAGTACACAGTTTCCTGGCCATGACAGCAAAAGTAGTCACCCATGCCCTTGATAGTCTAATTCTGCAGTATGGTAAAGGTTTAATTAATGAAAGTACAGCCCAGAGTCTCATACTTCAGCCCGCTTCCAAATATCTATAGCTGCTCATTAATTCATTTGTTCAAATTGGCTGCACTGCATTCAGCTATTTGCCATTAGAAATGCTGACTTATAGTTTCTTTGTCTTTGATCAATACTAATATTTGAAAAGGTTGTCAAAAGGATTGATTAGGAGAGCACAAGTGAAGCATTTACCACAAATGCCTGCAAACAATTCACTATTGTTTGCGGTCTTATTTTGGTTTTTTTTCTTCTATTATTTAAATTCACTGTCTTCCCTTCAGCTTTCTTTCCCTCCATCCTTCATATGTGTTTTAAACTGCATGCGTTTATGTGTACCAAGTACAATCCAATACCCCTGGAGGCCAGAAGAGGCCACTGAAATTGCTGGAACTGGCAGCTATGAGATGCCAGATATGGATGCTTGAACTTGAACATGGGTCCTCTACAAGAACAGTACGTGGTCTTAACGATTAACCCATCTCTCCAACCCCCTTTTTGTTCTCTTAAAGTAGCATAACAGAACACTCAAGTATAAATTATGGCTTTTGCAATTGTCTTTCTGAAACCATGGTCAAGTGTCTTATTGACTTAAGGCTGGGTACCTTAAGGTTTGGTTCCATATCTATGATGCTACTTCAAAATTAAACTAAACTACAAAGATGAAATTTTGACTTCTCATCTTGTTATTATGCTCCAGATAAATAATTCAATTCAATTAAACTTATTTCCCACAGTGTTCCCTGTTAAGTGCCAAACCCATCTTGTTTCCTCAGAAACCCTGGGAAACCTCTTCTTACAAGCAACAGTCCAGTTCCTTTGCATTCTGCTACTCTCTGCTGATTCCACTCAAATCTGTTTTTTTTTAAAGTTGTTCCTTTGACAAGAAGTGCTTTGGGAGCTTGTAAACTACTGTGACCAGTTCTTTGACCTTGGAAATTCTACAAACAGCACCATGCATTTATTTCAACATTTTGTTCTTTTTACAGTAATCAGCTTGACTTATTCATTTCTCCTTTAGATTTGTGACAGCGACTTTATAAATTTATCTCTCAGAAGCACCTAAACAATGCTGACTAGATGATATGCTGTGTCATCCACTGAACAAGACTAGAAGAATAGTTTTAAGACCATTCCATTAAACATAGAGAAGTCAGAAGAACATAGTTAACCCAAAAGCACTTTAAAACTCTAAGGTATATTTGAATTATTAAATTGACTTTACTTTTACATAAACTTGCCAACTTCCTTCTGGTTTCTTTTTAATTGTGTTCCTGAATTCTACAACAGAGATGGTAAGTAACATAGAGTAAACATATGCAATATCAATGATCAACATCAGAATCTGGGAATGACTTCTATTCCTCCCACATATTTGACAGAGGTAACATGTAACACTGTGTACAAATGAAAGGGCTGGGGGCACTGGTGTTAAGTCTAGGCAGCACTGTGGAAATGCCAGGCATGCTTTTGCAATACTGATGCCAACTATCCTACTTCAGAGACCTCTGCTTAATTGGACTGTGTGTGGCTTGACAACAGGATATTTAAAATTCAGCTGGAAAATTCTCTCAGGCAATAGGGTAGAAGAACCATTCTCTATTTAGTATCCTCAGGTCCACCTTATTTTCCCCTATTTCACTTTATACTACCATTGGGAATATTTAAGTCTGTTCATCTAAACATTCCTTTGCTAAGAACAATAGAACTTTGGTACATGTGTGTCAGTAAGAAGGACAAAATGGATTTATTAAACAACAACAACAATGAAACCTCTACCAGCTGAAGTACCCTTGTGTAATTTCAGTAGGTGGGAATATTCACATATATTAGAGATAATGTAGCAAGTGAAATAGTACAAAATCAGTAAATCAATATGGGGAGAAGAAGAAGAGAGAGAGAACAAAGCCAAAAGCTGATAGCTGTGTTAAACCCAAGTTAATGAGTTACAGCTTCAAGTTACACGTACCTGATTGATGGCTCCCAGGTTGTCCACAAAGCTGTTCACTTCGGATAGTAGTAGCAATATAATAGACTTCCTCAACAAGCTGCAACTTCCTAGGGTCACGAGACTCTGAGAGACATAATGCTGCACCTGGAACTACAAATGAAAATGAGTGAGATTCTATTTCCATCACATTGGCATATTTAATGCACAGCTTCTAAGGCTTTTTATTTCTAAGGTAGATGCTCTACAGAGTACAAGATGTTAGCATACTTCCAGGTTAGTCCTGAGAAAAACTGTGAAAATAATTTTTATAAAATAGGTACTGTGACTTTATGTAGCAGTCAAAAGTTTTAAATGTATGACAGGGTGCTAAAATGGAAGACGTTGAACTGCCAAAAAGTATGAATGTACAATAGGGGAATAAGGAAAGTAATAAAATGGATTTTTAAGTCCTGACATGATAGAAGACAGGTAGACAGACATATAAACAAGTAGATTTAAAAGGTGATGAGCGAACTTTGAAGTAGATGAGAACTTAAGGGTCTTCTGTGTGCCCCACTTCCACAGTGGAAGAGGCCAGGGTAGAGCATTTCTCTGTCTTCAAGGAGTCAGGCTTTATAGGTTGGGAGGAAAAAGCACATTGACAGTCTGAGTTCCTCTTTGTTAGGTCTTTTAATTATTTATTTCAATTTTATTTATTTATTCATTCATTCATTTATTGCACATGTACATGCTTGCATGTCTATGTGTATGTGTGTGTAAGAGTATCAAAATGTACAAGTATTGGTCAATGGACAATTTGTGAGAGTTGGTTCCCTCTTTGCACGTGTGCATCCCAAGGATTAAACTTAGGTCATTTGGCTCACTGGCAAGCTTTTATCCACTCAACTATCCCACCAAACCATCACCATTAAGGAAAGTTTAAATGCCAACAGGATACAACACATCACATCTCTATTATTAAGAATAAAGTCATGTGATTAAAAATCACACCATGATATGTAAAACTCATGAGAAGGGTTTCATGTATATGACCTTTAAAGTAGCCAAGACAAAAGAGACTTAAGATAGAAATCGTCATGTACATTCACTGTTCTCCATAAGCTTCAATTACACCAAAGAGACATCAATTTCAGTGCTATGTACGCAAGGTAAAATGGTGAAATGTTACACTGTATCTTTTTGGATGAACATTTATCTACAGATACATTTCTGATTGATACTTTAATAGTAAATATTCTTTTAGGACATTCACAATGGCAATAATAATGAGCTCTGTAAAGATTACAGAGCTAATGAAAATATTTACTATAACTCTAGAATATATAATTATATTTCACAGTAGCCTCAGCCAACGTAATTATGGAACTACACTATCCTAGGGACACTTAGATATTTCCTTATCATTGTTTATTAACAATATAATTGGTTTAGATTCAGATTGCTCATTAAAATGTAGTACTACTGGTAAGCTTAAAATGTTTACAGAATTTTTATTTTTGTAGTTAAAGAAAAACATGACCTTATCTGAACGCTATGAGATTTCAGATGGTTATTTAATTCTAACTGGTGCTTCAATTGTTTGTGGACCTTTCTCTACATTTTGATTCTTTAGTCAGTAAGTTCAAATGGAGAAAAAAACTGACACAAAATAAAGGGGACTTTGGAGTAGTAGTAAAATGGTGATACCAGTAATGAGGCTACATTAGAGAGTCTACCACCTGAATCAAATCTTAGCTTGGCTGTTTCAGAGCTTAAACTAGCACTCACTATAGCCTTTGGGTCACAGCTTCCCCACATGCAAACCAACTGTGAAGGTAACTACATACTAGAAGTGTTAAGCACATTAAGTTAAGACAGTAAAAATGCTGAGCTTAGTGTCAGATACCTAATAACGTACCCAATAAGCAACACAATGCTATAATTCATAATGATAATATAAAAGCATTTATGGGTATATGCTATAAATTTAATTTACTAGCCACTGAAAAGAATGCTACAAATAAACTTTATTATGGAATGAATTGTAATCCTGCTAGAGAATGATGCTGAGAATTTCAAAATAAAGACCTCATCGATAGCATAGAAAAGAACTACTATTCTGACTAAATTTCACAAGGTAAAAAAGGTTATATAACTCTTAGTTCAGTTTACAATTCTGTAAATGTTATTTTTAAATGACCTCTATGTATCCAAAGTGATACTCAAAGCTTCTCTTTCTTTGATACATAATGGAACCTCTTAGAAAGACTGATATAGAGGTCAGAATTATCAACAATATATTTTAGCTAACTATGAAACTATGAGAACCCTAGCTCAACACTCAAATCAACCTTTCTTTTCCTACTGAAATTTCCTTTATTTCAGGAACCTAAAGAGCTAGAAACAATCTTTTCCCAAATGCCTATGAAGTGAGGATGAGCTGAGCTCTGCTGATGAGATGAGATCACTGAGCCCCTGAATTAAAAGTATATTACAGAAGAACAGGCCAGAAGTGGGTGCTGAGTGTGCATTTTGTGGACAATGATCTGTCTCAGCAGTCATTCAGAATCTAGCTAATTATGCAGGTTCTTAATCAACGCAGAAGCAGCAGCTTCCTTTGTGATCCTATGGGCATACCAGGCTTTTTATTTTGGGCCACCAAACAGCTCCCAAATTACGACATGAAGATTTCTTATTAGTTATGAATGCTCAGCCTAGCTTGGGCTCATTTCTGACTAGTTCTTTTAACTTAAATTCACCTGCTTCTCTTTACCTAGCTATTGCTTCAGGGATTTTTACTTTTCTTTCCTTCTGTATATCATACTTTCACTGCTTCTTATGTCTGGCTGCCTGGAGGCTGCTGGCTTCCTGCCGCTGGTGTGTCCCTCTCTATCTCCCTTCTTCTCTCCTCCTTCCTTTTTCTCTCATTCCTCTTTCCCTTTCCTAGATTTCTCCTCCTATTTATTCTCTCTGTCTGCCAGCCCTGCCTATCTTTTGCCTGCCTAGCTATTGGCCATTCAGTTTTTTATTAGACCAATCAGGTGCCGTAGGCAGGCAAGGTGAAACAAATGCAACACGTTTTCATAATTAAACAAATGTAACACATCTTTACATAGTTAAATATCCCACAACACTATGAGTTAGAGAGTTCTTCCTTAAAACTCACTCTTCACAAAGTGCTTCATGATGCATGTTCATCTGGGGGATTCATGGGGCACATTGCCACAGTAAAGGCTTGGAATATGGAGAGTAGAAACTCCTACCACATGCCAAATTACTTGTCCACGTGAGCTACACAGAAGATAGAAGGTTCTTAGAGCAGCAGTGGATGCTTAACTTAATCTAGGTGTATTGGGTTACATAGTGTTATTGTGCAGAGGTAGCTTTCCTGGAAGGAGCAACACTAACTTACACTTTGTAGGCACATGGTGATTCTAATACACAGGGAAAGTGAAGCAGTTTGCATTCACTTAGTTAACAAGAGCATACTTTATTTCTCTACTGTTTAAATCTCTGTCCATCTGTTGTTTGTTTGTTACTAGTTCACAAGAATTGCAATCTTCAAATAATTCCACAGGACACCATAGTGATGTATGTATTATACTGATGGTATTCGGATGGTAAAAAGCAGGTATTCTCAAGGCCCTAGAAAAACATGAATATTCCAGAAAGTAGGAAATAAGTCTCAGAATTTGAGTACATGAGAAGAACACATGCTTGTTTTAGAATAAAACATGTTGCTTCAGTATGCATTTCTTATGATTAAAGATGAAATGTTTGAAAGGCCTTTTTGAGTAACTAAGGCAAAATATACCAATTTGGTTTATAACCTAGACACATATATTGAGTAAATTCCAAGGCTTTAAATTTTGAGAAACAAGTAAAAAAAAAAAATGAGAAAACAAGTAGGTCTGATACTTGGATCTGTGAGCTATCTGTAAGATTCAATGTGTTTGTATTACGTGGACCCTGTAGTCCATCCTAAAAATATCACATCCTAAAAATAGGGGGCCTGGCATCTAGGACTACATTATACTCTTTGTGACAAGTAATTATGACTCTATAGCAAGTAAAACAAAATTCTTGGCTCATGCTATCTGGCCCTACTTGATCCTAGGACATTACCTGATTACATTCTGCTCAGTATGAACCTGAGTATTAACTAAAATCAAGTATCCCATCATTAAATAACCATCAAGTAGACTAACTATACACAAAACTGGAAACTCTAGAACTTACTGTGTAGCCCATATTGGTCTGGAACTCATGGAGAGCCTCTTGCTTCAGCTTCTGGAGTGTTAACATTAAAAGCATGAGCCAATTACAACCAGCTCCAACCCTACTTTTAAATGAAACTCTGATTTGTCATGCCAGAACTGACAATAGAGAGGGAAAAAAAAGTCCAGAGAATGAATGGCTGAGACTATCTCCCACCTGTAGTAAACCAGAATGAATAAGACGCCTCGCAACCTCCGGTGCTTTCAAAGAACAAGTAGCCTGAATCTATGAAGTAGAACTGACACTGTTTCTCAAAGATACTAAAACATGAGCAATAAAGTGAAGGTAAATGTTCCCTAATCAACTGTGTCATACCAATTATTTCCAAAGGTACTCGTATACAAATATAAAAATATAGAAAAATACATGCACTACAATATGTTATTTTGCTTTGCAAAAAGTCAATTTCATATTTTAGTGTAAAAGTTTCTGCCACAATTAATTGCACAAACCAATGTGAAATAATTATTTACATTAACATTTTCTATAAGGAAGGAGGCTACTCAGGAAAACCCCATGTTTCTAAAGAATAGGAAAAATATTAAAGATTAATAGCAAAAATTAAATAGTCATATGATTCAAAGTTGATTTATGGTAAATACTGAAAGAATGTGGTATATGTGCCAGGATGACTAAGCTAGTCCTACTACTTATGGGAGACAAGGTGCTTACAAAAGCTATCACAATTCAATCCACTTTCATCCTGATAGGAAAAGCATACAAATTTAGAAGACATAAATGTTATGTTTATCTAATTAACCAGAGTAAAGACAATTTGAGAACTGAGTACTGGATTTAAATTAAAACTACTGAAGTCAGACCGATAGTTTACAAACATTTAAAATATTTTTTATTAAATTCATTTATGTGTACGCATACATGTGAATGAATAC